TATATTGCACACAATCAGGGGTCCTCAAACTGCGGCCCCTGTGTTGCTGCAGAGAGTCTCCCCTTTGGGGGTCTTTTTGTGCTGGTCGGAGGGGGGCAGAAATTCAGCCTTGGGGTCTGCTTCAGCCTCCTGGTGGGGGGCTTTGGGCGAAGGCTGGAGGGAAGCGCTACTGGTGGCGAAGAGCCGGAGGGCCTCGTTCCAGTGGGACTGCATCATGGCCTGGAACTGGCTGACCATCTCAGCCCACTGAGCCTACAGGCACCGGTCCCTGGCCTTGCACTGCTGCAGGTTTTCCCTCTGCTTGGAAAGCCTATGCTGGTAGTCCTCAGTGAGGTGCTTCTGCTGAGCCTCCTTCTTGGTCAGATCCAATTTGAACTGAGCTGTTTTGCCAACTCTTTCTCTTGGTGGCTGCTTAGCTCCAGCAACTGCTTCCTGTTGGGGCCCTAAGAAGTCCCGGCGGGCGGGCGAGGAGGGACTGGGGAGGAGCGAGTAGAGGCTGGAGAGGTGCCCCTTGACGTGAGTGACATCGAGTTGGCCACGCCCACTCGGTCACATGACCACCTAGCCATGACCACCCAGCTGGTCATTAGGCAGATCATATTAGTGGTCTGCGGGATGTTAAAATTATGAATTTAGTGGTCCCTGAAGTCCAAAAGATTGGTGACCCCTGATTTAGGCAATTTGCTGAATGGAAAAATGATCATTGGTTTAGACTGAGAGATTTAATTATTAATTGGGGGGAAGATAAAATCTTTTGAGAGCTGGTTGGTTCTAAGTTTTTTCCAAGCAACGGGCATAGTTTAAAAGAAACCACAACTGGAAAAAAAAGAAAGCTTTCATCTGTATCTTGGTACATTTGTCTCCAGCAAATATCTCGAAACTGCTGGGGAAGAATTGAGTTAGGAACAGAAGAGGTCATAAACAATAATCTAGTATAATCCACTAAAGGTACTACGACCACCACCGAGCCCAAAATGTATGTTGTTAAGTGAGAAATGTGTTGAGTTTTGCCCCATTTTACGACTTTTCTCGCCAGCTCCGAAGCTGAACAGCTAAACCGAAGGATGGAAACACATATCTAAAATTATGGGCGATTAAAAAAATATATATTATACATGGTTAGAAAAAAAATGTCAAAGCTGCATAGATTATCAGCCAGAAATATTTTTTGCTAGGTATAATACCAGACGAGTATGAAAAGGGGAAATCTGTATTTAATATTACATGTTTTGACAGCAGCAAGGATTGTATTCGCACAGTACTGGGAAAAATGAGGAAATATCGAGAGACGAAGATGTAATTTAAAAAAATATATATTAGACTGCGCAGAAATGGACACTGACATCAGGGAAGATCTTCCTTAATGTTGATCTGTGAGGCTATATCCAATTTCCAAGATTTTGGAAGGCAGTCTCCAGGAGAACCGCAGTTTCTCGATGGTGAGCTTCCATAACTGACTTCGAATCATTTCTCCCCTCAACTGGGTGAACAGGTAGGACTTCCCTTCTGTAGACGTTCCACAACTGAGCTTCTAACCTCAGACATGGTGGCCATCTCTTCGGCCACAGCGGAAAGGCTTTGGTTGGTCCACACCTGCGTGTTCACCCAGGTTCAGATGTTGGTGGGGATCGCGGAGCCGTAGGCTTGGAGGACGTTGAAGGTTGAGGATAAGGGCGATTGCTTGCTGTAGCTGGAGATGCTGCAGTTGAAGATGTGTCCCAATCCAGAAGGAAGAAAATGGATCCTTGGTTAGCTATGGAGTCCTTGAGGTCGAATCGGAGGGTTCCAGTGGTTCCTTGCGTTTTCATGATTGGGATTGAGAAGGGAGATCCCACCAGCGATCTCATTTCTATATATTTTTGATGTCTCTCTCTCTTATAGAACCCAAATCCGTTCCTTCTCTGGACCGGCTAGGAAGTCAACTACACCACCAAGAAGATTCCTTCAGCTGCCAGTTCCTAGAGGAAGAACATGGGGAGAGAGTCCTGGGGGAGAACATCTCCTTGGCATTCACTGAAAACTCAGGCTAGCTGGCACAGCAGCGTGCGCGCCCAGTATCCCAGCTTATCTCTCCGGGACAGAAATCTCGTCTCCAGATCCAGGTGGTGGATGGAAATGAACAGTTGGCTTTTCAGAAGCTTTGGTATCCAGGTTGATTCCATATCGGTTGTGAGGTTGGAGAAATGTCTCTGTGGACATTTTGGCCCCTGTAGAGAAATTTATACACCTGTCGCAAGTGAAAACTCGTCCTTGTTTTCAGACATGAGAACATTGATTTTTTTTTCTGGCTCAGAACAGATCTGCTGATTTAGGATTTGAATTTTTTAAAAAAAACTAAACTAAATATTGACCCCTTGACTCGAGGCAAGAGTTGGAGTCACAGAATAGACACAGATGAACACAGTTGGAAGGGGCCTTGTAGGTCATCTAGTCCAACCCCCACCCAAGCAGGAGAACCCTGCACCATATTCGGAAGAATCTGCTGAGTTGAAGGCTAAATTAAAATGCTGTCTGGATTTTATTTTATTTTATTTTCTCCCCCCCAGCCGGGTTATCTCATCATTTTTAACCAGATCATGTATTCCCACAAAACCTGCCCTTCCCTCCGCCCCCCCCCCCCGGTGCACTTTTTGATAGAACCGGTCATTCAACGTCCCGGTTTTCTTTCTAACCAAGTTAAACACGTCCGCTCGAAAGCCGCCGAAAGGTGAATCAATCAGCTTTCCTAAATACATTTTGTTTTTTGCTCCAGCACATTTCTGAAAATGGGTTGCGTTTTCTCACACACACACACACACACACACACAAATACCCCTTCCATTTTGGCTCTTTTTTTTTTTTCAAATGTGGTCACCCTGCACCAAAGGAAATCCAAGTTTCCGAAATTTTGCACAGCCACCCCTGGCACGAAGCAAGACCTTCCTTGTTAAATTAAACCGTAAGATTAAAAAAAAAAAAAAAAAGAATGCAAAGCTTTGATTTGTGTGTGTGTGTGTGTGTGTGTGTGCCTCCTTTACAAAACCAGACAGAAGTCTTGTTATGCTCTGCTTCGGGGTGGTGAAGCTACAAACAGGGAGATTTGTAGAGGCAAATGATTCCTTTTTCCAAATTCCTTAGCTTTTGTAGGAGAACGGTGGCCTGCTATGAGTAAGGGGCGTAATTTGCACCAATCCCAAATCCTCCCGGATTGAAGCACCGCAAAAGGGTTCTGTGCTGTTTTGTTGTGTTATTCAAATCACCGCACCCAATGGGATATTGTCACGGGTGTAATAAAACCGAGGAGAGACCGTCTTACGGTCCAAATGGTGAATTATAACTCCCATCAGTTCACAAAGGAGGAAGGCAGTTCAAGGTTCAACCGCCTCTTGATGGCCCTAGCTGCTTACTTCATCCCTCCACCAAAGATACTCGTGGACGGTGTAGAGAATTCTACGGGGGAGGTGTGAGCTAGAGTAACCACCGCAGGTTCTTTCATGGGAGGCCAAATCTCGCGGAAAGCTCCATTTTCCCACGCAGGAGTTGGGACCCTTAGTTGCCTTCACGCAACCCTTTGCAAAGTGGGGCCTGTGCTGATTTGCACAACCACATTCCACGGGGGAGGAAAGGTGGAGAGGCCAGGAAGACGGTGCCACGAGCCTGCAAGGATTGGGTGGGAGGGCTAGAATCGACGGTTGTGGGAACGCCGTGGGCCTGGGCATCCCGGAATAGTAACCTAGGCCATCGGGAGCGTGCTGGGAGCGTATACTGAAAGAATTGGGAAGGGTGGGTGGAGGGGCTCAACCCCCTGTCCAACTCCGCAGGACGGGCTGTAGCCTTTTGGAAGCTGACCCGAAGACTCTTTTGGTGGAGGGAGCTGAGAATGAGGCACAAAAACGGAAGCCACCTCGTCGGAGACGCGGGGAAAAAACAGCCAAGAATTAGAAGACAAAGATTGTCCTGTTGGTGGGTCATCCCACATGTTGGGTTTTTTTCGACCCACTTAATAAAGCAAACGGTTGTGGCCTACCGAAATAAACTGGATTCTGGGCATTTTGACCCAGGTTTAGGCTGCAGTCTATTATTCTTATTATGAGTTGTATATTATTCCTCCATCATGGGCTCAGGGTGTGGTATGGTTTTCCCATAACACATCATCCCCTATCAAAAAGACCTCAACCTGGCAATTTTCAGAAACGTTGGAATGTCTCCAGTCCAGAACCAAAGAGCTGGACGGGGGTCCCAGAGAGATCATCTAGTCCAATAAAGCCTTGGAAACCGCCCATTAATTTGCACAACCGCAGGAGGATGGGAATTGTAGTGGTCATAAGTCTTTGGAGAGGGGGAGGGAAAATAATAATAATAATGCCAAAGGGGGAGAAAAGCAGAAAGCTCTCCGCGGCTCAAAAAATTAAACAAAAGAAAGGGGGGGGTGTGATTGGCTTTTAAGCAAATACAGCATTTCGCCCTGTGGGTTTTGGGGGGAAATATTTAAGTGGCCCAGAGAGATCGAACAGACGTCGTGCCCACCCAGAACACCCCCCGCCTCCCGTGCCAAGAAAGATGCTGGAACACATCAGAAAGAAGGGTGTTTCTCCGGCCTTCTTTTCCTTCCTGGTTTTGTTCTTTATAAGAAAAGGGGGGACTTTCGGAATACGCCGGCGTCCGGCGTTTTAGGAGCCCCGGTGGGAGATCTTTTTCTCGTCTGGGAGCAGTTCCCGGCAACTCTGGCTGACAGTTACGGCCCTGGACTTGCTCTCGGCCGCCGCCGGCCCCTTGACCACCAGTGGGGAGAAGGACTTGGGGAACTCCGGGAGGAGCAGGCCGTTGGGCGGCAAGTTGGACTGAAGATGGAGGGAGAGCATCTGCGAGCTGGTCAAGGCATTCTCCGTGCTGCCGTTGCCGCTGGCCGCTGGCATCTTGGTCCCGAAGGTTTGCTGGAACCAGGTGGTGTAGGACTTATCTTTGGAGTTCCCGCGGGGCAGATGGAAGGACTTGGCTGGATCCTCGGAGCCCTCGGCCTTGTCCGGGGTGGCCGGAACGGGTTTGATGATGTACTGGTTGCCACTGGTGCAGACTTGGTGTCTCCGGAGGATGGCTTTGACAGAAGGACAGCAGGTCAGGCTGGGGACGATGGAGATCTGGATCTGAGGCATGGGGAGCGGGTCTCGCCGGAGACCTTTGACGGAGGGCACAGCCAGCCCGTCAGAAGCGCCAGACGGCTCTCCTTTGCTGTCCGCCTTCAACACCTTCTCGGGGACTTTGGGGGACGGCTGTTTGTCCGGCGGAAGAGGGTTGGGCAGCCCGAGGTTGCTGCTGCTGCTGGTGGCTTTCTCCAGACTTGCCCGGGGGATCTTTAGAGAATAGAGGGAGGTCTTGCTCTTGGATGCCTGGGGGAGCCCGTTGTTGGACGCTGTCCCGTTGTAGAGGAGGACGAAATGGCAGAGGGACTCCAGGGGGAGAATGCTCTGAGTCTTCTGAGCCTTGGTGAAGATCTCGATGGTCAAATCTGAAAAGCGGTGAGGAAATCAAGAGGGGGGGGGGGAATGTCAAGATTGAACCTTTGCTTCGCTTCGTTTAAAGTTAACCCTTTTCAACTTGCCAAGGGACTTTGGTGGGGGACGGAGTGAGGGAAAAGGAATGTATGCAGAGATCTTGCTCGGGAAAGAGATGGACCGTCCCTCTAACAAAAACTCTCTCATAATTGGGCAGCTTAGAATAGAATAGCAGAGTTGGAAGGGACCTTGGAGGTCTTCTAGTCCAACCCCCTGCTTAGGCTGGAAACCCTACACCACTTCAGACAAAGGGTTATCCAACATCTTTTTAAAGACGTCCAGTGTTGGGGCATTCACAAATTCTGGAGNTCCCTCCCTCCCTCCCTCCCTCCCAGTGGTTAAAATGCAATATTGTAAGCTAACTCTGTCCACTGCCAGGAGTTTGATCCTGACCGTCTCAAGGTTGACTCAGCCTTCCATCCTTCCCAGGTTGGTAAAACAAGTTCCCAGATTGTTGGGGGCAAGAGGCTGATTCTTTAAACCGCTTAGAGAGGGCTGTAAAAGCACTGTGAAGCGGTATACAAGTCTAAGTGCGATTGCTATTGCTATAGGTGTGAGAACTGGTCGTAAGTCACTCTTTTTAGGGCTGTTGTAATTTCTCGTGGTTGCTAAATCAGCGATTGTTAAGCCAAGAGCTGTCTGTAGCTTCGTTGCAAGCTAAGAAATGCGTCACTAAAGATTATGCTTAAACTGCAATTTCCACACTACCTTTTGAGTTTACCTCCTTTGAAATGTAACTTTTTCCCCCTCTTCTTCCTTCAGAGGATGAGAACGATTATCGAATGCCAATCCAAGAACAAGAAGCTGACGGGAAATCCGATTTTGTACATGCCTGACCTGCAAAAAGGAACAACAACAATTAAAAAAAAAAACCCAGAATTTTGACTTTTGAATAAGAAATAGCTCGGAGTTTATCTGAGTTTGTTTATCAACCAGTTCCTTTTTATTCTCAATGAATCAGCCTCTCTCTTTTTTTCCCTGTTTTTCTTCCCTCGTGCGTTTTCAGGTTTTTTCCCCTTCTTGTGGTTCCTTTTGAAGAAAAAAAAACCTGCCGGAATTTGCATATATTTTTTTCACAGCCTTCTTTGTTTTAAAAAAAGAATGTGAAAATGTGCTTGCGCATCGTTTTATTCTTCTGTTTTTATTCATCTTTGGATAACAGGAAGAACCATCGCAAAGCTTGATTTCTTAGGAAATGTGAGGTATTATAACCAGAAACCTAAGAATTATAACAAGGCCCGGCTGATATTAATATAATTATTAGTATAATTGTGACAATAATTTAATAATAACAATTATTATTAATATTTGTTGTTCAGCTTCTAATACCGTGTTTCCCCGAAAATAAGACAGGGTCTTATTTTCTTTTGACTCCCGAAATAAGCTTTTGGCCTTATTTTCAGGGAGGTCTTTTTATTTTTGAGGTGGGTTATATTTTGAGGTGATTATATTTTAAGGTAACAGAGTCTTACTTTCTTTTGACCCCTGAAATAAGCGCTTGGCCTTATTTTTGGGGAGGCCTTATTATTTTTGAGGGTGGGTTATATTTTGAGGTGCTTATATTTTGAGGTGACAGGGTCTTATTTTCTTTTGACCCCCGAAATAAGCGCTTGGCCTTATTTTTGGGGAGGCCTTATTATTTTTGAGGTAGGTTATATTTTGAGGTGATTCTATTTTGAGGTGACAGGGTCTTATTTTCTTTTGACCCCCGAAATAAGCGCTTGGCCTTATTTTCGGGGAGGCATTATTTTTGAGGTGTTATATTTTGAGGTGATTATATTTTGAGGTAACAGGGTCTTATTTTCTTTTGACCCCCGAAATAAGCGCTTGGCCTTATTTTCGGGGAGGCATTATTTTTGAGGTGTTATATT